AAGGGGGACCAGCAGGCACTGGGGGAGTCCCTGTTCCCCCCAAGCACCACTGGGAGTAACAAGGAATGGTGGCCATAAGTTGACAGAGAGTAGATTCTGACTAGATATCAGGAGGCGCTACTTCACTGTCAGGGCAGCTAGGGTCTGGAACCAACTTCCAAGGGAAGGGTTGCTCACTCCTACCCTGGGGGTCTTCAAAAGGAAGCTAGACAATCACCTAGCCAGGGTCGTTTGACCCCAGCATTCATTCCTGCCCATGGCAAGGTGTCAGACTTGATGATCTGCTCAAGTGCCTTCTGACCCGACCAACTATGAAACTACAAGTTTCTGCTATCTGTCTTCAAGCCAAATGGTGCCCATGAAGCATTAGATATTCTTCAGCTTTTCTGGGCTTCTCTAGGTAGACAATAAAACATTCAGTTTTACAGAAAAGTCTTCTCTTTTGGCCACAAGTGCAGAGCAAAAGCCTTTGACTAATTATTTTACTCCATTATCATATCATTTCTATAGTAAGAAACCTCTTCAATAGTTTGTCTAGGCAAGGTTCTTTGGGTCGATGTGATATCTTTTATTAGACTGACTAAATAGTTGGAAAAAAGCTCTTTGTAAGCTTTTGGGTGCAATCACCCTTCATAGGGAGTCTTCCCTATTCCTGAAGAAGGGGAACTGCACCCAAAAGCTTGCAGCGAACTTTTCTCGAACTACTCAGTTGGTCTAATAAAAGATACCCAAAGAAACTTGCCTGCCTATGTTCTTAGACCAACATGGCTACAACCAAAAACTCTGCATCATCTTATTATTGGATAGTTAGGCATTACTATCAATCCCCTTAGAGTGGCAAATCAACCAGATTTTACTGTGTTTCTTGCTCGGAGGAAACCAGCTTCAAAATTCAGCCAGCTTCTGCCTCCAACCTCTATCCTCCTCCTGACGGGCTTTGTCATCTTTTCAAAGGCCTTTCAAGTGAACAAGGATGTCAACTGTCTAACTGACTATCTCCAGGAATGCGAGTCTCAGCTTCAGGAAGTGAAGAAGCAGGAGAAGAAGGGCTTTTTGTACGGGATCCCGGTCAGCGTGAAGGACTCCATTGACTGCAAGGTAAAGCAAGCATCACTTTTGTGGCTGAAATTTTCCGAGAAGATCAGCCAATTTGGACATTGAGATGGATTGGCATCATCTTTAGATCTTCGTGGTTTCAAATCTCAGTGGTAATCCCTACTTTTGACCTATTTGCGGATCACAGTGGTTAAAAGAAGTCCTCCTGACAGTTTCCCTAGGGCAGGTCATGCTCATGAAACAGTCTCTCTGTCAAAAAGTTCCCTTCTTGTTAAGAACCAGACTGCAGGCATGTGAATGGCATGAATCAGAAAGTAGTATCCCAAAAATAGAGCTATGTCCAGGTCACAATCTTGCTCTTTGCAGTACCCCAGCAAGTGGGAAGATAGCCAATTTGCACATTGTCACGTGCCTAGCCAAGCCAATTAGAATACCTTTCTTGGACTTTTACAATATATGTGAGTGGTTGTCTCCATAGGCATATCAGTGCTTATTAACACAGTCCAACTGCATCATAACCAACCCCATTCATCACCAACCCCATTTTAACAATCCTAACAGCAGGGAAGGATTTCTTTTTTCATTGTTACGATGCAGCAAATTGGTTCTCTCTTTTATAGCTAACGTTCTCCTTTAACGAGCTTTTCTTGTGGTCCCCATTGCGGGTGGGGAGTCATTATACAGAGCTTGCACTGTGAAAACATCCCAATTCACATTTCATTAAAAACCAGACCACGGAAGAAGCTCCTATGAGTACATGGTACCAATCGTTGCTCTTGAAGCATGAAGGTTTCAAATCGGGCCCATCTACCTGTGTCTGCTTTCTGCTTTTCAGGGACATGATTCCACATTGGGGTTTCTGAAGAAACTCAATCGTCCTGCTGCGGAGGACAGTGTGGTGGTCCAGGTCTTGAAGAGACAGGGCGCCATTCCCTTTGTGAAGAGCAATGTACCTCAGGGCTTGCTGAGGTAAACTGGAACAACTTTTGAATTGATCCAGTATTCATGGCCAAAGCAAATATCTTCTGCCGACTTTTGGGCCAGAATTATGTTGAACTAGATTTTTAATCAGTTAAAAAGTTTCCTAAGGGCTGTTAAGGAAGCATCTTGAAAACTTTCCAAATGTCACTGAAAATTCAATGGTGGGGTCAGCGATTTCTTTTTCCCCTCCAATTTCCCCTATTTCTCTACCACAGGGGTGGGCAAAATGCAGCCCAGGGGCTGGATGCAGCCTGCCAGGCCATTCTATCCAGCCTGCGGGGCCCCTAAAAAATTTAGAAAATGAATATTTACCTGCCCTGGGCTGCCTGTCACGTGGCCGTTGATGGCTTGCCAAAACTCAGTAAGTGGCCCTCTGCCCAAAATAATCGCCCGCCCCTGCTCTACCAGCGACTATTCCAGATGTGAAGGTATTCTAATTTCAATAAAATAAATGGGATGTTATTCACTCTACTATTACCATAGCGCATGCCATGTGCCCTCAAATAAGACATGCACTGTGTTTTGGGAAGGCTGAAAGAAATACAAAAGATTTTTCTTGCATCTTGGCTAAATCCTAACCATGGGGGATCCTGACCACATGGCTAAATCCTGGTCAGAGCTGCCTGGCTAAAAGCTACTGCCAATTTGGCAGCAGCTGTGAAAGGGTTAAAATGAACCATGATGCTGAACAGTGCACGTCACCCCTCCTCTCCCACGCCAGGGAAAGAGAGACAGTCCCAGCAGGCATTATAGCATCCCTATACATTATTAAGTGCAGAAATTTGCTTCCTTGTTAAGACAAGCACCAACATTTTGGAAGGTTAATTTTTGCGGGGGGAGAAGGTACATGTGGCATGCAAGTAAATACAATATTTTTCCCATTTTAAGGCCTCCCCCCCAGTAAAAATCTGGGGGAAAAGACTGTTAATGGCAAACAGCTTCCGCTTGCACAACATATGCCTTTTTGACAAATCTCAAGTAAACAATACTGCACTGAAGAAATTTCTCAGCGTTATACCGAGGACCTGACTAAAGGCTCCTTTGGACTTCACTGGTCTTCAGACCAGATCACAAGGTAATTAAACACTGGAGCTTCTTTCTCGTTTTAGCTATGACTGCAGTAACGTCATCTTTGGGCCTACAGCGAACCCTTTGAACCCCACCAGATCGCCCGGTGGCTCCAGTGGTGGAGAAGGGGCCCTGATCAGGAGTGGAGGATCCATCCTGGGCATTGGGACTGATATAGGAGGGAGTGTTCGAATCCCAGCTGCTTTCTGTGGGCTCTGTGCATTTAAACCCACTGCGTCCAGACTCAGGTACCCCATACACCTTGGTCTTTTGCCTTGGCAGCAACCAGGGCTTCAGTGAAGATCACTCTAGAGATAAAGTGAAATCTCAATGAGAGGGTCAGGAATTAACCCATGGGTAGGAAGTATCCACGCCTGATAGCAGCCTGACAATGCCAGCATGTTCAGTGAGAACATCTTTAAGGATATTTTCATGCTAGTCTTTTATAGATGAGCTTTCTGCAACTCAAAGATCTCTTTTTCCCCCATCTAAAAAAAAGGACCCAGGCAAAACTGTCTTCCAGTGCAGTTCCCTTCACCCCATGTGTCCCTGTGCAAGCAGAGGGTGGCATTTCCAAAGGAAACCAAAGGCATTAGGAAGTCCACTTCTATTACTGTAGAAAATTAATAACTAATTTTTCCTTGGGCCTCTTTGCAAGTTCCCAGCTGAAAGCTTTAACGTTCAGTCTTTTTTTCATATGCCAGGGACTTTAATCTAGGACATTTCAGTCCCAGGTAAGAATGTTTTGGGGAAAAAAAATGTCCTGGCTTGGGACTCCGAGAATTTTGGCTGTAGTTTTTGCTACCTAAATCTTTTTAAAACAGGCCTGAACTATTTTTCCCCGTAATCTCTGTTTATTTTTCAGTTATTGCAAGCAAGAACACAGTATTCTAGTCTGCATGTTTGTAGCATGTGCCAAGGAAGGGCAAAATTCCCATTTGTTGTCGGTCTTACTCACAACTACCTCTCCCTGTTAAAAGCAATCTTTCTTCTACTGTTTGTGCTTCTGTGTTTTTCCACAGCCAGAAAGGAATGGTTGCCATTCTTCGGGGGCAAAAATCAGGTAGGATTTTTACCACCAATGGTCTCCTGAAAAATAGAATCATAGAAATGTACAGCTGGAAGAGACCTCTGAAGGTCATGTAGTCCAACCCTTGCCTGAGGCATGATGATCCCTATCCAAACCATCCCATAAAAATCCACTGTCTAACCTATTAGTGAAACTACACAGTCAACCCTGACACAACCACAAGATATAACAGCCTAACCTACCACAGGAAAAGGAGGGGGACAATGCCAGGAAATGAGCACATCGACACGTGCATTTAAGCGCAACTAAATTTAATGCGCATTAAGCTAATGTGCATTAAGCAATTTTTGGCAGGTGTCTACACATGCAGAGACTTGGCACTAAAGTTAGTGCCAAGTCCCTGCAGCCCTGCCATGTGTCCCTAGTGGCTGGGCAGACCCGGCACTAAAGTTAGTGCCAGGTTGCATCTGCACATGCATTAATATGCTTTGACTAATCACACCTAAATTTGATGCCCGCATCTACAGGTATCAAATTTAGGTTCAATTAGCCTAATTTTGCCATTTTTAATGTGCATTGAGGGCATGTACGTGTACATGCCACTCATAATGTGCATTAAGTTAGGCTAGTGTGCATTAACACATCTTCTGTAGATGCGCCCAATGTCCTGCTGCTGCAAAGATTGTTTAATATGCTTGAGTGATCCAAGGAAGGGGACTATATCCACCACTACAGAGGAAGGCAAACCACCCCTCTGTCCACACCAGAGAGTAAAATTCCTTCCTGATCCCAAATACGGTGATTGGGGAATCTAATACAGCCACTGAGGAATCTAATACTTATTTTGTTTCTTGCCAAAGGCTTTGTGGTCTCTTTCAGGAGATCAAAAGAAGAACCTGGCAAGACAGAGCCAGAGAGCCTCCTTT